GGATCCCAGAAGGACAGACACTGCCTCCTCTTTGTCTTTGGTGGCCTGGAAAACAGAAAACACCTGGGGAGCTTCACTTTCTGTGAGTCTCTGATGACTCTTTCCTCCCATCACAGAAGAATGAGAGGACCAAAAGAAGCTCTTTCTACAGCAGTGACAACTGGAGAGAATTTTAACACCCCCTCAGATCCCTAAAAGCTTAGATGAATATACCACACATTAAAAAGCAAATTCAAGATAAGTCTCCCTGCCACTCTTCCACTCCAAGTGCCACTTTTAAGCCACTTTAGTAGAGAAATCCTAAGACTACTTCTGGCCTGATATATTGATATGTTTGTGTACAATAAGATACTTAGTGGTCAAAGGGACTGCTTGTGTCCTGGGCTTCGTACATAGCGCTGTTCAGCCGCAGAGATCATCCCTACCTCCACAGCCCTGTGTTCATCACTGTTCCCTTCCCGGAACAAATGCCTTCTTGCCCTACAGAAAAGCCCAGTCTTGGCTCCCTAGGGTGTCACTTCCTTCTGAATTATGCTTGAAGAAAAAAAAATCAAATGTCCTTTTGTACCCTCGAAAGCAATTGCAGACCCTATAATTCTCTTTTCCCCCCCGCTTATGTAATTTATACATTGGCTTTCAGTGAAATACACCCTCTACAAATTTGCTTTGTACTTGGAAGACAGCATCTTCAGCTCTGACCTTGTTCCTTGTAAATAAGGAAACTGAATTCCCCATCCACAAAAAAACAAATCACTTTATCTTCTGGATAAATGAGTCAGTCACTTGCCTGTCCTAAAGATGACTTTCTCTTTGGAAAGTCTGGCTGTAGAGTTGTTCTAAATCACTTTCAAGCATCTACATAGTAAATTGAATAGTTTTTCTTTAGTCTTTCTTTGGAAATGGGCCAGCCCTCTTACACATTCTGTCGGTTAGCAACAAAAATGTTTAGAATACCAGTCAGCTACCAGCAGACAATTCTCCTTTAAAGCTCTTCTGTGTATGTCCAAACAAGAGGAACTTGGAGGAGCAAACAGAAATGAGTAGGAAAATGCTAATGGTGGATAAAATATTCCTGGGGACACATAATTATATGCATGTCTTATAGCTCAGAGAGCCACCAAGTAGAGGTAGTGGGGGAGACTCCTCCACTGGTTAAAGAGCACTGTTCAGATAAATAATTTGGGGTCTGAGAGATGAAGGGACTTATTCAGAAATCACAGTGAGTAAATGGTCAAGGTAGGACTCATGACCATCGTCACTAAGCCTTTGTTCTTCACCCTCCTCTTAGTAGAATGCCTTTGTTAAAAAACAAACAACAACAAAAACTACCTAGGAACCTCCCACACACACACCTCACAGGATTTCTTACTGGAGAACAGAAATGCTATAAAGCCCATTTTCACTAATACGACACAAAGAGAATGAGGAGAAAGTCTTTTAGTTATTTTCAGAGAGACTCATTTCACCCAGTCAATCAGCAGTGAGCTTCAGGGAGCAACTCAATATTTGGTCTCTACGCAGTGACTCAAGCACATCTTAGCTCTCTCAATGCTGAGCAGAGTACTAAGGATCAAATAGACTCTGATTCTACTGATGCCATTGTTCAGCAGATACGTGATCATAACAGTCACATCCATCATTTGTTTAATGGCCTTCAGGCACTTCTCAAATATTATCTAATTCTCAACACAACCTGATAAGTTATTATTATTCCTGGATAAAAAGCTGTATAAGAAAGATAGATTGATTATCTTCTAGAATTTCCATTATGAGATGTGAGTGGACAAAAAGAGGTGGAAGTAGTTCAGAGAGAGGTGTTTATAGACCAAGGAAGGGGTCAAGGTGAGAAATGGTGGGGGGTGGGGGGAGAAGGAGGGAGGGACACCCTACAAAGTCTGAAAGTACCCTAAGATATAGAGTTAAAGAAACATTTTGTGCCATCATCTGGGCTCTGTTATGTGCTACAAATAGGACTAGCTTCTTTCTGGTGAAAGACTGTGTTTGCATACCATCGCCAAGGCATGCAGGCAAGGCATACACATTTCAAGTGGAAGAAACAGAAGCTTAGGAAATTTGAGTAAATTATTCAGTTGTCCCTTTGGTAAGTAGCAGGACCAAGTTTGACTGTAAAGTCCATGCTTCTTCATTCCTCATACAAATACATGGTTAAACAGAGCAGATGGGTTGCAGATTACAAAGCAGAGATTAAAAATTAAAAGGAGGAACAATTTCACATGCAACTTAAACTACTGGACTGTGCATTCACACGAGAGCTTATTAACATTTGCTGTTTTGGCCAAGTTCAGAACGCCAGTATATAATTCAGAAAATGGATGGAGCCTAATCAGTAGATAAGTCATAAATCATAGCTAAAAAGCTGTGGCTCACTGCACTTTTAACACAAGTTTAACCTCATTTCTAAGGCTGCAGTATATACAATGACTCTCCTATGGAAATATTCAAGTCCAAAAGCATTTAAAAATTCAAAATTGTAAAGAAAGTGAGAATTCACAACTGAGTCCAGGCAGGAACTTTCCACAGCTGATTTCACAAGGTATTATTTCAGGTCATCTATGAAGCATATTTTCTTATAAAATTACAGGGAAAATAAAATTTGAGCCTCTGCATGGCTCTTGGCCTTTCCAAACATATTTAACAAAGATCCAGAGGCAAATATAACTAATACCTAAAAATTGAGGGAAAATGTAAAATTTGATTTGGAAGGACAGAGAAGCCATAGGTACACACTAATACAAAGATGTAAAATTTTGGTAAAATATCATGCTGGCTATTCTATGTCATTAATTAGAAGCAAAGGATTGACTTAAATAACTTTTTAAGTCATCTAATCAAAATCAAATGACTAAGGAGGAGAGTGCTACAGAATCTGCCTTATGGATATTGACAAATAGGACAAGAGCACTATTTTCCCCTGGAATCTTGAAGTTATGTAACCACTTCAAGACTCTTGGTTTAGTTACATTTCATGAGTAATATGTCATCAGCAAATGCAGCGAAAACTTCTCAATCTAAAAACTCAGGCTCTACAGTCAGACAGACTGCAATCTGAATCAAACACATGAGCATTAATGAACTGTTTGGAGTTGTCTATAAAAATTTTAGGAAATTCCAGGACATTCTGAACTTTACATATAATTTTGAGCAAAAAAAAAAAATCACTTAATCTTCCATTAAAATACTGACAAGCAAGAGAAAATTCCTTACTAAGATAACAGGAATGGCTGCTCCCCACAAATATTCACCTGAAGGTTCTGTTAATTGTTGTCTGATGTTTGCCCCGAATTAGAGAACCCTTCACTTGGGGGGCAGGACGTGGGGCGTGGTACTGGAGCTTGAACTCAGGGTTTCATGGTTGCTAGCAGGTACTCTACTATTTGAGCAACACTTCCAGCCCTTTTTATTCTGGTTATTTTGAAGATAGAGTCTCATTTTCAGCCCAACCTGGTCTGGACTGCATTCCTTCTATTTTGATCTCCCCACCATCACAGAGATGGCAGGCATGTGCCATCACAACCCACTTATTCCATTAAGATGAGGTCTCACAGATGTTTTACCCAGGGTGTCCTGGAATCACAGTTCTCCTGGTCTTTGATTCCCAAATAGCTAGAATTACAGGCATGAGCCACTGCCATTCAGCCACTCTTCACAACTTCATATGTGTCCCTGGCATTTTACCAAGGTAGGAAGGAGAATTTAGCTGGAATTCACTAAAATGTCTGCTGATTTGTCTTCTGTGGCCCTGCATTAGTTACTTGATCTACACTTCCAATTCTTCTGCTTGTTAATTTTTTAGAATGAGGGGAATTCTTGGTAGTGTTACCTGATTTGTTTATTTCAAAGTGGAATGCATTTTTGGATACCAAATTCATTCCACCATTAAACTAATGCAAGCCCCACTCTCTTCTCTGTTCCTATTGCATCCTATAGTCTTCTATCTCATCATTTCCATAGCATATTAAAATGATCTCTTTGTGAGTTTGTCTTTGCCACTGGATTCTAAGCTACTTGAGGGTAGGACTCTTGTCTTAACCATTGCACTATTGTTAGTATCTGGTCCCTGCCGGCCCATAGGGATTATCAACCGACATTGTTCAGAGGAGAGGTCATGCAGTGTGATAGTATGATAATAAAAGTTGGAACCAAATTATCTAAGGCTGAATCCTAGGACCACCACTGTGGGAGCTCAGCCAAGGCTCTATGCATCAGTGTCTTCTCTTGTAGAATTGTTATAGCAATTAAATAAATTTTAAAACCACAAAATGCTTATTATGGTATACTTAATTCATCCTATAAAATGACTAGAATTACTGGTCTCTAATAAATGTTAGCTTTCATCAAACTGGAAAATTGGGTGGCCTTTTCTTTCGTGGCTACTAGCTAACTCATTCCAAAGCAGGTAGAGTTCTGCTTCAAAGAAAGATGGCAACACAGCAAGGTGGTGCAGTCTTATAATTCCAGCTGCTTGAGAGGTGGAGATGGAAGATTTTCATCCAAGGCCCACAGGGAAAAGCACAAGACTCTATCTGAAAAAGAAACTAAAAGCAAAAACCTGGAAGCATGGCTTAAGTGGTAAAGTCTTTGCCTAGTAAGTATGCCCTGAGTTCAATGCCCAGTACCGCTAGAGAGAGAGAGAGAGAGAGAGAGATTGAGAGGAAGAGGTGACAGTGTGCCTGACAGACCCCCTTCACCTGTCTGGAAGACTCACTTCCGTCCCCCAGGAAACACAATGAACCAGTCATTGTGCTCATACAAGGTGAGAAAAATTGTCTCCCACTCTTGCACTCATTCCTAGCTCTCAGACCCAGATTTCAAACAGACGTGAACTTGGAGGAGGTATGTCAAGGTTAAATGTGTAATGGAAGGTGGAACAGAGATCAGAAGTATTGAGTGCAAGGACTCAGGCCTCAAACAAGTTTGAGCCACCTGGAGATTGGAGACCAAGCTGCCATCTGCGTTCACTCAGCCGGCCGCAGCCTCACCTTGTGGAACTGGGGCGGGTATATGCGCGCTGCCCCGTGGTTCAGCAGCAGCTGGTAGCAGATCTCAGGCTGGGCAGAAGGTCGCACGGAGGTGACCTTCAGCACGTACTGGATGGCAGCGCAGCCGTTGATATCCATGAGATTGGCTTCAGCACCAGCTTCCAGCATCATATGCATGAGCACGTGGTCACAGTTCCAGGCGGCCTTGTGCAGCGGAGATTTGAAGTCGTCATCGCGGGCATTGACCTCTGCCTTGTGGTCCAGCAGCATACGGCAGATGAGGTGGTGCTCCCTGCTGTACTCCTGCTCTTTAAAGCGGAGCGCCCAGTAGGTAGCGATGCCAGCGGGGTCTCCATGTGGGCATTCACGCTGTCCACGATGGCCCCGTGCTCCACGTAGAAGGCCACCAGCTCTGAGAGGCCGAAGTGGGCAGCCGTGTGCAAGGGCGTCTCCTCGTCCTGGTTGTTGGTCTTCATGTTCACATTTGCACCTATAAAGGGAAAGTGAGGCAGGGAATTATTTAAATCCCTTTTCCCATTCTTCCCAAGGTTCATCACACAGGACTTTGTCCCCGATTCTTTTTTAACCTCTGCCTGACATACATTATGCCCACCCCTCCCCCAACACAGTCACTTCTGTTCACTCTATTTCCTGGACAGCCAGCAAATGCACTCAGGGGAAAGGAGCAAAGGATTCTGCAGATGGCTGGAGCATTGCTGAATTTCAGCTCTTAACTTCCACATAGATTTGGAAATACCAAGTGATTTCTATGATTAAGTAGCTTTTATCAATAAAATAAACATCAGCAAAAATAAAAAAATTATTAAAAATAAAGGTTATACCAAAAGCTTTGAAACTTGTGTAAGGAGCTTTAAAAGTCAATTGTCTGAATGTTTCACAAAATAATGTTTTTCTTTGCTTTCAAAGCAGTTGAACCTGAAAGTTTTGTGTAGGAAAATATTAATGATATGGAAATTGCTTTGATCTAAGGCTGAAATCTCAGTATTAGGGTTACCTAGTTCTTTGGAATGCAGTGAACACACACACACACACACAATATGTAGCTACCAAACTAGCCTAAAGGTCATATTTTACATTGAAAAGGGCATAGCTAATAAAATTGAAATAGTTATTGCAAGAAAGAAAATAATTCAGAGACTATATCATCTTTGATTTTTGGTTGACAACAGATATTCAAAATACATATTTTTATGCATTTGCTGCTTAGAAATTATTTAATCCAACCCACTTATTTAACACATCAGGATCCTAAAGTGAACTTTATTCTTCTGATAAAGAATGTTAAGTACTAGAATAGTTAATTCGAGAAGTGAAAACTTTCTCTCTCTGCTTTCTTTTTTTAATAGGGTAAACCATTTGGGCCTGGGAGCCAAATCTATAATCAATTCTACAAGAAATTGTATAGCAGCTTCAAAGTTAAGTGTGAAGAGACTTTGTTGTTGTTTTGGTAATGAGCATTTATTTGGCATTTAACAGTGTGCAAAACTCTGAGCTAAGTGCTTGTGTGCTGCTTCATGGAATCTTTCTAGCAACTCCACAAGATGTGCAGGTTTTAATCCTAATTTTACAGATGAAGAAATTTGTACTTAAATAAACAATGTGCCAAAAATAGAACAAGCTAGTGAAAATATGTAATATAATATAGAGAAAATATAATATATTAACAATAGAACCAAGATTCAGAAGTAGACAGCCTGGCTTCGATATCTCTTATTACTATCTTATTCTACCTCGTTATTATTTTTCTGCAGGAAATTTTTTCTGTATATTACTTGTTTGGTGTATGAAATGCAGAAAATAGTAAAGAAATACTGCTGCAGTTTGTAAATTTTAGAAATGTATACCCATGGATTACTCCTTTATGTCCTTATGTATGGCATCACCGGGCCATATGAAATATATTTGAGAAAGGCAATACTCCTGCAAGTGAGTTCAGATATCCTATATGGAACCAGCTCAACAGTGAAGTTGCCAAGGGTGCTTTGCTCTGCCCACTCTGAGACTGTTCTCCTAACTTGCAGAAAGCAGGACTGTAAGCAAAGGCTCTGTGTTCATCAGTAGTCTGCCCTGGAATTCTTCTGGGTAAGGTCTCCTTTCAGGTCAGGTCTTTGCTCCTGAGTGAAATGAAATGAATAAGAATGTCTTCCCAGAAGCCATGTGCAGGGTCACTTCCGACACTGGAGAATTTCCAGTAAGGAAGAGAATCAAAGGGTCAGAATAAAATTTTTACAGGCCAACTTGGAACAAACCACATTCTTTATTTTTTAATGGACTTGGACATTTACAATTGATCCTTGACCTCTTGGTACAACTAGATATGTGGCGTGGTTGCCTGTTCCTTATTTTTATACTTGAATTGTGCCTTCAAAAGTAACTTTGCTATAGAATATAAAATGTGAAAGCTTTTGACTATTTCTTGTTTTTGATTTTGTGATTTATTCAAGAAATTAGAGCTCAGAAACATAAATTCCTGGGAATTTTTATAAATTTTTTAATGTGAAAATACAATATATTAGTTTTCAAAAGCTGCTGTAATAAAGTATCACACGCTAGATTACTTAGAACGATAGAAGCTTATGTTCCCACAGCTCTGGGGACTAGAAGACTGAAATCAAGATGTCAGCAGAGTTGGTTCCTTCTGAGGGCTCCTTCTCTCTCACTCTAATCTCTGCCTCCATCCTCACATGGCACTCTCTCTGTCCCTGTGTCTCCACCTTCTCATAAGAACACCAGTTATCCTGCATTAGGGACCCACCCTACTCCAGTGTGACCTCGTCTTTATTCAAGCAGTCAGATTTGCAACAACCCTATTTCCAAACAAATTCACATGATGATGTATTGGACTTTAGGACATCAACATATCTTTTGAGATATGGGACCAACAGGTGAGATAGAAGAATTGGAAGAAAAAAGGCAGAAGCTGGCCAGCAGGGACAGGACAGTTGTGGGAGGTGTCCTGAAGCCAGGATTACAGAGTGACTTTAATACAGTGCCATTAATATTACACTTGCCTGTTCTGCCACAATCTCCTTTCATTACCTCCAACAGACTGCTAATCTCATAGACCCTAGTCAGGTATCAGAGTCCGGGGAACATCCACCATCGGCTCTTACTGTGGCTCCCTCTGCTGGGCTTTGCTACTCCCTACAGGTCCTGGGTGCTGTCCTGTCCCAAGCATCCACTTCCCCCGAAGTCTGTCAGGTCTAAGAGCTGCAGGCAAGTAGGAATGAATCTCTACATCTGCAGAAATTGTCACCTGCTAGACACAGAGAATTCACATCGCCACTTCATGTTCCTAAACCAGCTTCTCTCTCCACTCCACTCATGAAGAGCTTGTGGAAGGATGGAGGAGCTTGTGGAAGGATGGAGGAGCACTGCAGGTCAGTGCTTCCCAACTCCCCAAGACACACCTTTCCTTTCCTATTCTGCAGTGACATCCATAGATAATATGATCTACCTTCACACATAAATTTTGAAAAATAAATAGAGTGCCCTAGCTGATGTGTATAGGCAAAATTATGACTTATAAGTAATATAAATTCCAATGATGTAGTATGAAATTCAGTATTGTTACTGCTCAGGAAAGGCTATCCAAATGACGTAATGCAGTAGTGATTTGCTTGAACCGCTCTGTAGAATCGGGACAGATGCATATTTGGATGGATATGTGTTTTTCACCTTGTAATTCAAATACCATAAGCACCATTACCCTAAGGAATGGTATTCCCAAATGAGAAAAAAAAAAACCTGGAGAAGCTACGAATAGCTCAAACCCACCATCACCTTGATCTTTATCATAGTTTCACTCCTAGACGTGTCCGTATTTACAAAATTCAAAAGTATTTTATGCTTACATGCAAAATAGAGTTAGGCTAGATCTCAATAGTGTTAATACATCTAAATATTATTACAGCAGCATCAAATCTAAGTTTTTTCACAAATTATGAAATAGTCAAACAGGTAGAAAAATTACAGAAAATATTATAACACTTAGATGTCATATTTGACAGATATTAATTTTTGCCATATTTACTTCAGTTTTCTTTTCTCTAAGACAGAATTTTACAGGAATACCCAACTCACTTCTCTTTTTTATTTCCTCCCTTTCTTTCTCCACAGAGACAACTATGATTCTAAAGTTGATGCTTGTTAAGCAGTTTTAAGGACTGCCTTTTGTTTTGTGAACACAAAACTGCAGTTATTTTAATTTATTTCTATGGGCTTGTCTGGTGGCAATGCTTTTGATAACTACCAAATGCAGAAGGTGACGAAGCTAGATCTTTAGAAGTAAGAACTCTTGTCTTCTTTTCTCTCCCAAAGCACAGAGAAGTGTCAGGCGAGGAAGGAAGTCAGTACACTTTTTCTCCAGTCTAGATCAAATACAGCAATGTGGTTGGACTTGGAGCACATGACAAAGGGAGAGCACATACAGGAGATATAAAAATAGGTAGAAAATCCAAAACATGAAAGCATTTGATGTCCCCACTCCAGAGGAACTAATACAGAAACCTTAAAGCAACAGAAGTCAACATGAGAAGGGGATCAGGAACCAGTGTCAACATCAATTAGAGATGAATCAACATGGGTTGTAACACATGTGTACATGAAAGCAATGCTAGGAATCTCTCTGTATAGCTGTCCTTAACTCAACTAGCAAAAACACTTTGTCTTCCTTATTGTGCTTATGTCTTCTCTTCAACAAAATTAGTGATAAGGGCAGAACAGGACCTGCCTGGAAGCGAGGAGGGGGATGTGGGAGAGGATGGGGGAGGGTGCGGGGGGGAGAAATGACCCAAACAATGTATGCACATGTGAATAAATGAATTTAAAAAATTAAAAAATAAAACAGAAAAGCCAACAGGCAAAAGGAAGAAGGAGCCATACTTTCAAATTGAGGAGGAATTATTAGTTAGCCCTGGGTATCTAACTTTTAAATTGAGACTGAGTTTTGAGACTTGGACTGACTATGCAAATTTTTCTCACCTAACACTTACTGAGCCTACCTGGACTTTCACACCACAACTGGGAAGAAATCAGAACCTCTAAAATAATTATTCATTTAATTAGAAAAACACTCAAGATTGTTTTTATGACTCTATCCCATATATCATGCATGATCTATTTAACAGTTACATGTGTCCAATAAGTTTTTTTAGGCAGGGATTATTTTCTAAGAAATCAGGTACCTGAGGCTATTTTCCTATTGGCATTATACATTAAAACTAGCATTTAAAGTGTATATTTTCATTTGTTTGTTTTTGTTTTTGTTTTTTTGCAATACTGGGGTTTGAACTTGAACTTAGGGCCTATGTGCTTGCTATTGCTAGGCAGGTGCTCTACCGCTTAAGCCATACCCTCCAGCCCCTTTTTTTCTTCAGTTATTTTTCAGATAGGTCTCACATTTTGGCTGAATCATGATCCTCCTATGTACTACTTTCTGCATAGCTGGGATCACAGGAATGCAACACG